CATGGCCAAAAAGGGTCTTTTGATGTCGACCTAATCCCGGACTGGGAGCGAGTCCCTCCGTGTGCTGCTGCCGAGCTGCGGAGAAAAAGCCACGGCTCGGGGAAACCCGCAGTTTATTCTTCTGAGTCTGAACTGTGCTTTTGGGAATGGAGAAGTGCTGAATAGCCGCTGATGTGCTGCAGAGCATTGGCACTGTGGCTGCTCAGTTCCTCTTGGTGTGCGGGCCTTCGTTCCAGGTACTGGCAAGCGGGAAATAAGTTACAAAATTTTGTCTTTCGGGGCTGAAAATCCCCGGCTGTGAATGGCGCTCAGGGTTTCCCAGGTGATGCCTGGGAAGCAGCTCCTGTCTTGCAGGACCGGGGGGGAAGGCGCACGGGCCCCGGGAGGAGCGGGCGCCGGGTTTGGGGCTCCTGCGTGTTGTGGAATGAGAAGGGTTTACTGCAGAGCACCGGGCTCGCCCAGCATCATTAGCGTCTTATCCGGCATAGCGCCGTCAAATATGTAAATCCCACACAGGTATCGAACCTGACTTGGAAAATAAAGCCAGCTTTGCAGCCGACAGCCGTTTCTCAGCTATTCGTTGCCCGAGAAATTTCCACGGTGCTCCCTTTGCTTTGCAAATGTGCAGGAGGGGAGGGATTCGAGGGTGGTGGCAGCATCCCTTTGGCTGGGGGGAATGACCGTGATGCCAGGAGAGTTGAGTAGACGTGGTTTGTCATGCTTCAGTGGCGCACTGGACTGAAGAAGAGGTCCTCGCCATGGGGCTGGCTTCGGTGAGCGCTGCCCGGTTTGTTCCTCTCTGTGGCGTGGTGCTTTCTGAACGAGGATCCTGGAGGAGGGGGCTCGGTGGGAGAAAATACTGGGGCAGGAGCTGCCCCAAGCCCCGAAGGCGAGGAGGAGCCGGGACGTTGCATGGCATGCTCATGCCTGCCCGGTCCTTTTTATAGCAAACATGACTACTTACTGAATAATCCTCTTGCTGAGCCCAAAACTATTGGTGTTGCCGGGGATTTTGCTTAGCTTTTTCCTTTCTGAAGCCTGTGTGCTTCAACTCCCCCCTGACCGACGTGCCTGGGGCAGGCAGCTGGGGCGGAGGTTGGATGGGAGCGTGATGGACGTGACTCAGTGGAGAGATCGAGGCCCTGCTGCGGACGTTTGGCCCATGGAAAAGGCAGGTACCACCCCTAGCAGCCTCCATGCCACGTACCGCTGACTGTGCATCAGCTGCGAGGGCTGGGAGGGAGGGGGGAAACGAGACACGGGCAGAAAAACCCAAATTTAGACGAGGTGTGGAGGGCTGCTCGTCTGGCTTCGGTTTGCTGTTAAGTGCTGTGAGGGAGCACAAACTTCCTCCTGCAATTTTTCCCCTTCAATTACTTCACTTAAGCCAAAAGGGAAGGGGAACTCTTTGCCGAAGCAAGTGATTTTGCAGTGGTCAGGACAGCCCGATGGGAAAGGGGCGATTCTGGGAGGGTCGCAGGGGAGGGATGCTCCAATTGATGGGACAAAGTCTAAAAAATAACCTTTAGCTTTAAACCCCGGCAGTTCTGGCTTCTTTGGCGGGGTGCGTGTCTATCTTTTCCTGCACTGGAACCTGGTCCCTGCCGAAGTTCATGGAGTGATGCTCATGATGCGCTGTGTCGGGAAAGCACATTGGGACTTTGTTCTCTGCATGTGAGTTTGCTCGTGCTCTTAGGTCTCAGCACAAGATGATAAATTCCCTTAAATAAAGGGGTTTGCTCTTTCGCATCCTACCGCGGCTCCTGCTCGCCCAGGGGCCGAAGTCCGGAGATGTCCGAAGCTGCACGTGAGGGCCAGCGTTGGCCCTGAATGCCCCCGCTCACGTGATGCTCTCTCCCGCAGCCTGTGCTGCCTGCAGCTGCCTGCAAAAGAGCTGTGCAAAAATAAAAATACGCCGAAGGTCATGTTTGTTACTTCTTGCCCTGCCTGTAGCGATTGCTGCGAGTTGAGCAAGTGCGGGGTTTTGTTTTCATTTTTTTTTGCAACCTGCTGTTCTCCTTTCGCTCTACGAGGTCCCTTCTTTCACTTTAATAATTTTCTCGGTACGTGCTTGGTTCTCCCCACGCTTGTCCTTGCAGAGTATTTCGGGTAACCCGGCAGCAGAGCTTTGGGTCTCACCATTTGGTCCTTGCAGGCACCTGTAAAACTGTGTGGGAAAAAGAGAAACGATGATAATGCTAAAACACACTTTTAAGTCTGGTGTATTGGCTAACAGCTTGCAACTTGGGGAGTGGATTCTCAGTCATTTTGCTTTTAATGAGACAAAAATAATAGCTCTGCTCTCTGCAGCGTGTTCCAGGGTGCATTAGAAAGAAGTATTTGATAAAACATTAAAAAAAAAAAGCAAATAATGTTGAAGACTGAGACCTGCTGACTCTCACCAAGGTTGGTCTGGTCAAGTGATTTTTGAAAATAAGACTCAGGTATCTAAATCTTTTAGGTACTCCCAAATATTTATTTTTCATGCCAAGAAGAAGTGATGCTGCTAAAACAATCCATGGCTCAGGCAAGTCATCTGCAGTAAAAGCTGCACTGGCATATTTAATTTTCTAACAAAGCACACGGCAAAGTGTCTGAAAACACTTATTTCCCCCCCCCCAACACATAGGGAAGAGCTATTGCATCCCTTTTTGCAATGGCAGAAACGAAGCGTGGGGGAAAAGAAATGCTTTGCCCCCCGCTGCAGAGCAAGGGAGCGCCGGTGTCTGCAAAGGAACCCGCTACCACGGGTTATGGATGGCATTTTGTCAGGGCCGTGACCGGCTGTATTTCTTCTTCATTGCCATGATTTTTTTTTTTAACCCTTGTGAGGCTGGCTGGGGATAAACTCCTTTTTTCGGGCCGGGGGGAGCACGGGCTCCTGGGTTCATTCCCCGGCTGCTGACTCGCGATATGACGCTGGCATGTCGGCAGCGTTATGAAATCCTCAGGTCGTCGTTTGAAAGGAACAAGGTGGGGTTTGTGGGAAGAAGGAATTGCATCGAGGCGGGATGGTCCATTGCTTTCTGTGTCTCTGGGACGAGCAGGGCAGATGTGTTGGCACAGAGGGGAGGAAACTTGAAATGGAAAATTATTAATCAAAGAGCTGCTTTTCGCAGGATGCCGTTCTCAGGTGGGTGAATTTGCAGTGAGTCCTCTTCCTCCCTGCGATGAGTTTTGTCTGTCCTGTTGTGCCCACCTGGTTACGGGATGGGGAGAAACTGCAGCCTCTTGCAGCATTTCCTGCTCTCCTCACCCTGCTCCCCAGCACAAGCATTTTTCTTGGTCTCGGCAACCTCTGCAGGACCCTGAGTGATTCTGAGGCTGTACTGACTGCGAGCAAGAATAGCACAGCCATTTATTGTTGCACGGTGTTTGCAACTACCAGAATAGACATCCAGCTTCTGCTGTGTTTCTCAGAGCAGATAAGGCTGAGGAGAGATACTAAGAGCTCTGCACGAATAAAGACCTTTGAAGAGATGGTCCATGAGCAGTGCAGTGCCCCAAACCTTTCATTTTTGGGAAGGTTGGGACAGACTGCTCGAGGGTAGGAAGGCTCTGCAGAGGGACCTGGACAGGCTGGATCGATGGGCCGAGGCCAATTTTATGGGGTTCAACAAGGCCGAGTGCCGGGTCCTGCACTTCGGCCACAACAACCCCATGCAGCGCTACAGGCTTGGGGAAGAGTGGCTGGAAAGCTGCCTGGCGGAAAAGGACCTGGGGGTGCTGGTCGACAGCCGGCTGAACATGAGCCGGCAGTGTGCCCAGGC